TTTCTTAGCGGGGGCTGCCGAGGTTGTTGACACTCCATTGAATCGTACAGCAAGCTGCCAATGTGCGCTTTGATCATTGCGACCTTTTCAGCTTTTTTCTCTTTGAAGGTGATCTTGTGATGGGAAAAGTACAAGGATAGCTCTTCCACCCTCAGGGACGACAGCTTATTGGAGTTGTACAGTCCAACCCAGTCAATGTCATTGTACTCCCGGTTCAGCCGTTCCATTCGCTCCCTTTCAGTCTCCTCTTTCTTCTTCTTCTTGCACATTTTTATCTGGGCAAGGTGCTCAACATACTCTGCCACAAGCTTTCTGGGGACAATGCATTTATCTGGAAACTTTCTAATAGCTTCACTGTCCCTACTGACTAGTTCACTTTAATTCCCCAAACAATTGTTTAATCTGAACAAGTTGCTCCATCTGACCTCATGAAATCCTCGCATTCACCACAAGCGCATTTCTTTCTTTCTATTCCTCGCGCATCCTTGCCTATTTTCAAGTTTTCACCGTACAATCACACGCCACGCAATTAACTGCTTTGTGCACAGACGCGGTTATGTGAGAAACACTTCCGGTTAGTTATTTTCACTTCCGGTTATTTTTGTCTTGGAGGAGGTGGGGGGAAGGTCAGATGTTTTTGTGTAGGTATTTGTGAAGGGTCATGTATTAATTCATTCTGGGAAGTGGGAGGGCCACGACTTTTTTCGGAAAAAATTTCTAAAATACCCCGACCCACCCACCCCCCCAATAAAAAACGTACCTTCCCTAAGCTTGGTTAATAAGATGTTTATTATATGACAAACAAGAACAATTTAATTCGTTTAATGTAACTGGTTTGTACTAGCTGACATTTTGCTTATGAACTGCGATGAGCTGAATTTAATTCTGCCAAAGTTTGCTCGTCCTCTACTTTTTATCCTCATTAGGCTTTTGGCACTTCTATGAATATTATTAGAAGAAATAGTCAATGATTTTGCATTTTAGTTTTTTTTCACTACATTTCCGGTCTAGATGGGAAAATCTAGACCGTTTCAATATCGACTTCAGCCAGTCAAATTCGTGAGTTTGGTAGTTCCCAGTCCTTGTGAGACAGGGCCATATAATAATAGCTACTTATTAACCTCGATCGTTCAGTCTCTACGGGAAAATCTCACACGGCAAGGCCGAGGTTTGAGATTTCTCCGTTAAACGGAACTTTCGAGTTATATGGCTTTTTGCTTTGTTTTTGCATGCCCGTAATCGGTCTGTGGGCATTACTGGAGAATACCCTAGAATTAGCCAATCAGAGCGCGCGTCATATCGGCTATAAACACAAGCCATATAGTAACATTTGTTAAAATCTTTGAAGGTCTGTAGGTAGTGTAATCAAACTGTTTAAGTTGGGGATCAACAAGTGGATATTTTAGGAAGGAACTAGCGGCGAATAGGTGACAATCTTATTTCAAGCATCTATCCAATCAAATCACGCCTCCAGAACAGCCTTTTCCTCGGCCAAAGGTCCTACCGGCTAAGCAGGGATAGACGATTTTGAGGACGAAAGTGAGTCTCGCTGCCCGTCATCAAGCCCCGCACTTTGTTTCCCGCCATGCAACGACGCTTATGCACGAGAACGCTCTGGGTACGAGTTGAGGACAAAGAGGGGCTATTTCGGGCCTCGAGGCCGGGGTCAAGTTAGACTTTCATTAAAACCAGGACTTTTATTTGTGATCTGACACAACTTTATTAATTTTTTTGGAAGACTTTTGTAATTTTACATAACGTCAGTATAAAAAATCTAATATTTTCTGAGAACGTAGTATGCAATTCAGATACTTTCATGCGTTTCAAAATATAGCACAAACTCTCCTCGAGCCTTAATTTTCTATATACATAAAATCAGTTTAACGACTTACAATAATGTACAAACATATTACTTTTACTTATTCAACGCATGTTAAATTTAATTTAAAGTCTTTAAATATTGTTGATGGGTGCATTTCGCTGGGAGCTAGTCACCAATCAACCAATTCTATTTGACTCCTAAAGTCAGCCTTAAAACATTTAATAGACATCCTTCTCAGCTACCTTCTGTTATTGGCTAAAGGTAATATTTAAAGCAGGCTCGAGAAGCTAAGTATAAACTGGACTACCGCTGAAACCAGTTCAGTAATTGAAATTAAACTGAATTCTGAATACAACAACTTAATACGAGAAAAACTTATGCTTTGATAAAACAAATTCAAGCATTTCCTTTCTATTCAGTCTAGCCCCATGTGGTCAACTACGTTGCTAGCAGGGTCCTCAAGTCAAGATAGGCTCCTGTTTTTCATTGCGTTTCGACTCCATAATCACTCTCAAGAAAATCAACTTGATCACTTGACTTTCTTTGGCTAAATGACAAAAGAATTACTCAATTGAGTCTGCCACTGTCGGTGAAAATTTATGGTAAGGGCAAGCTTCTCTTGACTAGTGACACCTTGTGCAACGTACATGACCATAAAAGCCATCCTGGCACATTTAACATGTGCAGATAATAAATTAAGTACGGGAGACTCCGACTCTTTAGGTACTACAGTGAAACCCCAATTTGATGAACATCTGGTTAAAAGGAACAGACATACAAGACAGAAAAATGGATGACTGACCTGTGGAACCGGCCACTGATATAGTCATGAACTGGTCTTTCAGAAACACAATGAACATTTTATAATTATTTGAGCAGTGGTTAACGAAAGTAATGGCTTTGGCTTCTCAAACATTCACAGTTCACTGGATTGAGGTTGCATGGTACTAAAAGGACTTGCTAAAACTTCCTTTCTTGATTTTGACCTGCCTGGTTTTAATTAACACCAAGAACTACTGTCTTAATAGTGATATTAAGGTTACAGGAAATCCATACTGTTAAATTGCAATATTCAACCCTTTACACTGTAAATTCCCACGGAACAAAACTTCTACTAAAAGCCTACAATGCGTATGAACACATATTTGTCACACCGACATGAGAATTGGAACAAGATCTAACAAACTCAGTATGATGTAAACAAAATTGTAACTCCATCCTTTTAATTTTTTTGCTCCCATGACCTATGGCTCATGGGATGTCCTCGTGTAAATTTTGCAAGCATTTGCCATCAAATATATTATTGTAAGAAATATTCATTTCACTATTTTTGACTGGGAGAGTGATTTCAAAAAGGCCAGCCCAACAAACTGTCGGTCACATCCACAAGCTTATGTTGAGAAAAAAAAAGGTTTGAAACACTACGTACAGTACTGCCGAGTAGTTTTTTTTTTTTGAATGAAAAGAAGAAAAAACAAGAAAGAGATATGAATGTGTTTTACTATAAGAAAACACAAAATCAAACAAAACCCCTCCTGGATTCAAATGAAACTGAAAAACAAAATAAAACAAAACTAAGTCTATAATACAAACTTATTCTCTGTGATACAGAGTTGAATCTGGTCGTGACGCTTGATTTCTCATCTTTTCCAGAAAATATATAACAATCTGCAATCAAGGCTTTCCTCATTTTAACAAGTTCAGAAACTATAAGTCACCCTACAGCAGCAACGACCCATTCTACATTTATTTTAAAAATGAATTAAATTTCATAAATAACACTTTGCATAATGTTTGACAAATATATACCCTCAAGTGAAAACATTATATACTGGAATGCAAAATAGATAATTCTATGACATAACATTCAAAGGTGCATATTTAAAGACGTAACATATTTATTAGAAATCGGTTCAGTTTGTTATTTTGTTCTTTTTTTTGAAACACTTAATTCTTATAAATTCTCCTTCTTCTTCTCCAAGAAGACACGAAAAGCTTCCTTTTCCAGTTTTGTAAAAAAATGTTTCTTGAGATTTCTCATACAAGGTGTTTATTTTAACTTTGCTATGACAGTAAAAACACTTTAATAAATTCTACATAGCACAAGGAAAGCCTTCATGCATAGCCCCCGTTACAATTTCAAATTTTGTTTTTTAATTTTTTTTTTTTTACCATCAATTAAGCCATCTGCTATTTCAACCAAAACGACAGTCAACTTAAATAGAAAAGACAGACTTTCATGGCAATAAAAAGATTAAGGCTATTATTTTCCACCACCTGTGTGAAATAAAATTACCAACAAACCCAAAGAAAGATAAAAGATGATAGTAAAATGAAGCCTAGTAAATATTTCAAATAAATACTGTCAATACTTATTTTCATCAAACACATATTAGCATGTACCTTAAGCAAAAAACACAAGACAGTCACTAGCACTTTGAAAATTATAACACAAATATACATTGTTTACACTGCTATTGTCAGTATAATGTTAACAAACAACAAAATAATTGACTCTCTGATGTTTAAATACTAAACAAAGAGCAGAATATGATCACACTTAAGGTCTAATCAGTGTGTAAACCATACAATGTACTAACTACACAGTATTACAATTAATTAATTTACAATTATTTTACAATGGTTTGCATGCTTAAATACAACTATCCTCCTGTGGATACAAAGCTTTTTCTCAAAAAGGTGAAAGATTAAATTTTTAAATTAATTATTTCTTAACTCTTGAAACACAAATTGTCAAATGCCTTACAAGAAAGGAGAATGGCAAAATGGAGGAGAAATTTCCATCTAATAGAAATTGTACATCATTTTCTTGTTCATTAAAAAATACTATGGTACATACTGCTTTTTTTTCTTTTGAAAACTATAATTTAAATTTTTCTTGAATTGATTCCTGTTTCAATGCCCCCTAAAAGACTATAGTAATATTTTTCATGATGTAAATGCATGTTTGAAATATCATATGACAATTTAGAGTGTAGTATTCCTGGAAGAGAAAAAGCGAATCATGGTTCTCCAAACCTCTGCAGTCTTTTCAACTTTGTCATGAGCTCCTACCCTTTTTGCTCTTTGGTGATTTTCCATGTTTCTGTTTGGCAGGACTCTTTGATCTGCTGTTTGTGTGACTTTTGCAGTTGTTGTTGTTGTTGTTGTTGTTTTGATTGCTGTTGTTATTGTTCTTTTTATGGATCAAAACAGCTGCAGGAGAAGAGCTTTGTTTTCCTATGCCATTGTCTTTGCTCAGGTGGCTAGAAGTCATCAAATCCAACTTTGGTGAACTAGCAACCACCGTATTCTAAATTCCAGCAAAAAGTAAACATGGAAATTAAACATATTTAAACCTTGAGATTGTCAAGTTGAGAAATAAGAATATTTCTTTTTTAACTTTGTCATCAACAGCAAATGGATAAAAACAGTATTCTGGAAAATTGTATTCCAAAGTGGAATCTGATATTGTCAAACACCTATCAATGAGTGAAAATACTTTGTTGAAAAATTGTTATCCTGGATTGGCTGAATGCTGAATAATAGTTTTAATGAGATTTGTTCAGAAACAGTTGTGATGTTCTCTAGCTCCTGTTGTACTTCATTCAGTCACAACATAAGCACTTCTCAGTGCTGCTAGAATTGTTACTTCAGAATGATAATTCTTATTCCACTCATGGAAATGGAATTCTCAAACTCGTTAATAAATCATTAAGTCTACATGAAAGAAATCATAAGGCTTTAGTGTGAGAGTGTTTGGATACCTGATCTTCATTAGCACACTTTTTGACAATTTAATTCCTCTGTTTTCTCCTCTAGTTTCAATTAGGAAGATGCATCAAACACTCAAGAGAGTGTTTCACCCCATCTCCAAACACCTTCAAGGTCATGAAAATTCTATGCTGTACATCATATTTTCAACTACCTTCTCTGTGTTTGGAAATCTAGCAAAACACTCTCTGATTATTACTCCCTAACATATAATTACTTGAGAAAGATGAAGTGTTCATGGCATCACCAGGAGGGTTCCCACTTACACAGAGTCGCTACATTATTTTGTCAAGCTAAAACTGTATGGCCAACATTATCAAAGTAGTGATTTAACCAGAAGTCTGGTATTTTCAGACTTTAACTCAGATCTTTCCAGGGTTACTCATTTCCCTACCACTAGTCAAGGGGAACAAAGAAATTGGGTACAAGGGGGGCTTATCCTTGGGTTTTTATGGTATCTTGTTGAAATATGAAATCTATTCTTAATGATCAATCACTTACACATTTTGCAACCTTAAAGATTTTCTGTTGCAACTTACATTGTTATTTGTTGTTGAGGTCTTATGTTCATCAGCCTTTTTTTGCACACCACTACTTGTCGGTCCCAAAACTGACACAGTTTTAGACTTTGATGAAAAGTCAAGTACTGAGGTCTTTGTTGTTGTCACCAGGGTTTGTTTTGATGAAGAAATCAACGACTGTTTTATCACCCCTGAATAAGAGGTAACTGGTGATGAAGAACTTGTGCCACCAGAGTTCTCAGCTGAAGGTTTTGGAGTTGAAGAAGATTTAACATTACCTGCACTGTTAAGAGTTTTTGTTTCACTAGTCATCTTTTTCTTTGCTATGTTGTCCTGGGCAAGTGAATCTGCTAGTTTCCGAACAGAGGTTGCTGTCCACACCGAGTTTGTGTTCAGTTTCATTTCAATTCCCCCAGCAAGAGCATAAAGGCTGTCAGCACTTGGATGTCTGACCAATGGCTCTCGCTCTTTCTCTGAAATCATGTTGTTTACCGAGACATATGTTTCAACATGTGATTGTGATCTTCCTAGAGGCCATGTGGCACTTTTGTTGCAGACATCTTGTGATGCTACTCCTCGAGTCTTAAAAACACCAGGTTGAATGTGTCTGTTTGCTATACTAGCATATGTTGGAGCTGACTGGCTAACTTGAGTTATTAATGGAGCACTGTATGCTGACCACACACTGGCTACCCAATCACGATATTCAACTACGTTATCTGTCAAGCGCACAATCCGGCTGAGGTAACCACCTGTTTCCTCTTCACTCTTCTCTAGATTTCTGTCAAACAAAGAGCATCAGTTAAAAAGTCAGAAGAGGTCCAATTATAGACACTAAAAGTAAAAGGCAACCAAAATACCCATAAGAGTAATACAGAAAGCTCTAGCAAGCTTAAAACTGGGATGTCTTTTTGAACCAAAACAGATCCCGTGTTACAAAAAACATGACATTCCCCACGCTATATGCAGTACACTTTGAACCAAAACCAGATTACATGTGCTATGCTTATAACTCAACTTACGTCAGTCATTATTTAGGTTTCAAAAGGTTGAATGCAAACAAACGAAATAATTTCTGTTGTTCAGACAATCTTCTGTAAAACTCAAAGAAATGATCAAATACAAGTTTCCTTTTCCATATTCTGTTGTATTAGCCCTTTCTCACTATCCAAATGTATTTTGTTTTGTGATTTCCAGTGTGATGCCTCTGTTATTGATTTTTTTTCCTCCAAGCATTCATCTGTTTACATTCTGTGAAATAAAAATTTGAGGAAGGAAAGTTCCCAACCTCCCAAAATCTTTCTAGCAAAGAAGTGATTTTAACTCATGGTGAACTAAGGTCACATGGAGAGGTCTCAGTCTGCTCACATACAAAACCAAAACAACCCCTAACCATACTCAGCCCTAGGCCATCCTGGTTAGTAATTACTACTTATTATATGGCTGTGTCTCACAAGGACTGGTAACTACCAAATTCACAAATTTGATTGGCTGAAATCTATATTAAAAGCAGTCTAGATTTTCCCATCTCGACTGGGATCTAGACCAGTAATGTTTTGCGGTGAAAAAATTGCAAACTAAAATGCAAAAATATTGACTATTTTGTTCTAAGAATATTTATTTATTGAAGTACCAAAAAGCCTGATGAGAAAAAAAGTAAAGACGATGAGCAAACTTTGGCAGAATTAAGTTCAGCTCATCGCTGTTCACAAGCAAAATGTCAGTTAACTACAAACCAGTTACATTAAACGAATTAAATTTTTCCTGTTTGCCATATAACAAACATCTTATTAAGGTTACTTCCCACCTTTGCGGGTGCCCTTCAGGAAAAAATTTGTACATGCACCAGTTTCAATAAAACCTAAACAAACTATATATCACTAGAAAGCTTAATAAATGTAGTTTTTGAGAAAAATATAATTTAAGTGACTTTTTCTTTTGGGAAGTGTCAGCAGCCGGTAAACCATGAAACGACCGAGAGTTGTTCTCGTGAATCAATCGGGTATCGAATGCCGCGGCACGAGCAAAATGGCTGCACAGTCATCAATCAACAAAACGGTGTCAGGCTTTTTCGATATTCTGATTGGTTGCCAAGATATCCTAGTCCAAAGTTGAAGAAGCTAAAAATATACGGTAAATGCGCCCAAAATTATGATATTTCGTTTCGGTTTTCCGTAATTTAGACCTAAAACTCGAAATATTATTCTAAGTCTCCAAGAAATCGTTCCGTTTTTGCGTATTTTAGATAGAAAATTCGAAAAAAAATCTAAGTATAAAAGTATGCGACACTTAGAAAAAAAATGGTAAAATTTAGAGTTATTCAAATCAGATAAGTCTCAAAGGAGCGCTATTGTTTTCGCTATTGTTTAGATAAACAAAGAACTGTATGC